GCAGATATTTCTTCTGTTTCAGGGCAAGCTGAAGTATAAAGAAACTGTAACTCTAGGGTTTGAGAACCAGCCCAAGGCGTTCATCGGGCTGTTCACGGGTGACAACATTGGCAAGGCGGTCGTCAAGGCCTGAGGACTCATTCGTTTAGGGATGATAGGCTTACTCCTACAATTGTTGCAAAGAAATTCTAGATTGAAATAGCAAGACCAACAAATACAATTGTGTGCAATGTATCACAGTCACCATGACACTACCGAAACAATTGTAAGTCAAGATTGCTGAACACAATCGGATGTTGCCGATACCTCGATGTCGACGTACAGATGTTCATCTTACCGCGAACTTGAAAATTTAATTGTGTGGATTGTTTGTATAAATTACCTTGTCATACTTCTTAACTATCCATATGGAATGGAAGTTTCACTCCAGTGCTTTTCTTTTTGTAGAGAACGCCTTCAAGCGCAAGTATCAAATCGAGGAACCGGAACTTAAAGTTCAAATACATGAGAAGTAGAGAATCTGTGTTTTGATCCTTACAAAATCAATGTTCATGTTGTCTTAATTCATTTCGTTTTGAGGATGATGACGGCGTGACTGTAAAGCTGTTATGAAAACGATTTGCACTTATCGGAACCTATTGCAAACCTGCAACCTTTATCCGAGTGCCCGAGTTACCCCGACACTCTAAAGGGGCACATGAAGAAGCTGCATGACTCGGAGTTGGTCATTTCTCGGTCAATGTTCGACCTGTTCTGTATATCTCGCTGTTTAATTGTTTCTTTTATCTTGAGTTAATGCATGAGGCGACGTTCAGTACACGTCCTAAATTTTTCGCTCACTGTAACAATTTATCATCAAACGACACTGTAACGAAGTGTAGGACTCAACACCACAACCTACTTGATTCTACTCGAATGTCTGCCTGCACTGAGTTTGTCGTGCGCTTCCCATTGGCGGTACGCCAAACCCTTTCAGGGGTTATGAGAAAAGTTTCGCGGCCATGAAGATATAGAAGAGTATAGAGAGGTTCAAGCGTTGAAATAAGGTCAAAAGGGAAAAATTATTCTCCGTATCAACTTAAAGATTTAGGATTGGGTTGAATGAAACTGAAATAATTGAAGTAATACTAATTTTTAGAGGTATTTTACTGGAGACGTTCGCTAGCTGTTGATCTATTTCTTCATTTGCGCTGAATCTGAACACATGGTTTCCGAGAGTTCTCTTTCAAGTTTCATGCTTCGACAACTAATACACCATTTCAGTGTTAAGTTATGTCGAATTAACTTGATTTAAAACTCCATAGAATCGAAGCTTTGCTAACTATGGGCTAAAGGCAATGAATCTTAGATGCGAGGTCATCCCAAATTTCTATGCAGCAACATCAGGTGTTGACGGTGTTGTGCTCGAATGGGAAAGATAGATCATATCTAATCGACTGATAAGATCCTCTTTACTAGTATAAGGTACCGTTTAATATTATTGTTGATCAGTCAGTCGGACCCGTTCAAGAGCTATTAACGCGCGTCAGCTTCCTATTTGGTCGGTGCATTGGGTTTCCTCTAATCTATAAAATTAGATGAATGCCTTCTTTCTTCTATTAGATGCCTTCTTTCTGATTCATTAGCTGGATCAGAAAAACGTGCAATATTTTCTACACAGTACTTATAGCACAATATTGGAACCTTGCAATTTTTACGTTGATATTACATATATATTTAAAATTTCCTTGCATTTTAAACATGAGCGGAGCACCACGCCAAAGTGTTGATCATGTCAGAGTGACCATGTTAACCCCTTAGACTTTTTTTTTTGCTCTTTTGTACATTTTTAACAATCAAGTACATTTGTACTTGATTTGTTATATTTTATTGTTATTATATTATACATATATTGTTGAACTAAACATTCAACGTTCAAATGTACTTTTTGTACATTTGAACGAAACAAAGTTTCGTTCAAATATCTTCAGTAATTTAGAAGAAATTTCTTGGGAAATTTAAGCACGTATTGCTGTTTAAATCCCAAATGAAGGAGGTGAAATGTAAAAAAACTCGAACGAAGGCAGGATCGAGCGAATTTTTACGAGCTGAACATCACCCTTTGGTAGTTAGCATTGTATATTCAAAATTTCGTTTAAATATGATCAGTAGTTTGGAACGAATTCCTTGATCACTGCTAATTTCGGCCAGTATCGCCATATAACTTACAAATGAAGGTAACATTGAAAAAAAAATTTCACGAGCTAAACATCACCGTTAGGACCTAATAGATACGTGTAACAAGTTTCATCGAGCTGCGTTCATTAATTTGGGAGATATTACTTGATGATACTTGAATTTAGATATTGGTCGTGAGACCGGCCACCAGTCCGGCCGTAAATTCGCCCGCGACGTCCAAGGTTTCTAGTGCTGAAACAATTAAAACGGCTTAAAAACGTATTGGTTCACTAAATGGGGTGCTATTTGTTAAATACACATTTATGTTTAACCTATAATCCTATATCTAAATTTCAGGAAAGAGGCGTATGTCTGTGAGGGGCGCTAGAAATTCACTAGGGAGCCAAAGGTGGCGCCAGCCTGAAATAGTTTGGAAACCACTGATTTAGAGCATGTAGCGGTAGCGGTAGCGGCCGCTACATTTCAAAGTAGCGCTGCCCAGCTCTGTCAATAACACACGTCGACGTAGTTTGTGTCAAGCAAGCTGCGTGAGAGGCAGGAACAGAAAAAACTGTCCGGCAACAATCTCATTCCAGTAGTCTCAAGACAGTAACGGTTTTTGCGTAGTGTCGCACGTGTACTAAGGCCGTCACGTGTACTAAGGCCGCTACGTGTATCTATGCCGTCACGTGTACTAGTTAGTTAAGCAGTATCCATTAGTTACGTAGTATGCGACAACGGAGCGAACTAAAATAATTCCGAGACAACGACAGCAGGAGTGTACAGTAAATAAATAGCTTCGTTGTTAATCAATTCTAGATCAGTCGCAATTGGAAAAATTTATGTGTTTGGGAAACCTGCTAAGGCTGAGCGTTTAGTGAGCCAATTAACTTAATTTCAACACATATATCCATTTTTAATTTGGTCCTGAGCGATTACGATTTGACTAACTTATTCGTGGTAAACCTGCTCATGATCTTGGTCGAAAAGTGATCTCGGTCGTAAGTCAAGTAGTAGTTATTTGAGAATTTCACCAGTTACAATCCGTAATTCTTCAAATTAAATTCGAAATCAAATAGTAAATTCGTATGCGAATAGTAAATTTTTATTCCGACGAGGTCAACCTTCCACATTTCTTCTAATCTGAACTGGAAGATTAAGGCCAACTTCATTTTTCTAGCACACTCCAGACAGAGTCACAGCACAGCTAACTCGTATAGTGCGGCGTCATATACGAGTACCAATGACGCTGCTAGTCAACGAGTTTATTTGCGGTTGCGAACTTCGAAATAACTGATCTCTTGGTGTATAAGAGATCCCGTCTCCTTTAAAAATATTAAGCGCCTTAGCCCTAGGTGTAGGCAATAGTCTTCAAAAAAGTTATTTTATATTCGAAAGGTTTTAGTACAGTGTAGATTCGGAAACTTCTAATCGTATAATCTGGCGATTGCACCCGTTTCATCAGGTGTACGAAAACTGTACTAAAGGCTTGAATTAGCAAACCTGGAGCGCAGCGATCATAAATTTAAAACTTCGCATGGAGGCTCTACCTCCTTCACTTTGCTCCGTAATCTGTTAGAAGTCAATTCAATTTATAAATTGACGATTCCTCCTAGGACTGTACCTCTTGTGCAAGACTATAGAGTTCGGCACCTATAGTCACAGCATCGTATCGCTTAGCTAAATTGCTGTCAGCCGCGGGTCTACTACGTACATCAGGCTAGGAAAAACAGGTCCCAATTACGGTGTGAAGTTATTCAATTCAGGCGACCTAAAACGTAATCATAATGATGGAATATGCCTTATTTCGGTGAAGATGTGGTCGACGGTACCATCGCAACAGCCCGCAGGAATAATTTGAACCTCTTTGCTTACCGAGCTTGTCGATCACATCGTGCGCACGTAGTTCAGCTACATGTACATCGAAAGCAGCTCGTATTGTAGAGTTACTAAGTGATTGTCGGGAGTCTACAATGGCGGGACTTCATTCCCGCCATTGTACATGTGACTAAATATTCCTTAAGGCTAACTGTATCATTCATGCTAAATTTTGGTGGCTCTACTACTTCACGGTGGTCCAAATACCTGTAATGCAGGCGCTGTTTACCATGGTACCTTGGTGTCGATTCATTGCATGATGTATCAGCAGATGAGGAAGCCACGCTAACTCCATGAGTACTATCAGAGGAGGCTTCAGAAGATGAAATGATAATTTCTTCTACTTTAACAATCTTCTTAGAATTGCGTCTCTTCTTCTTCTTATTTGAGGTCTTTTTTTGGTGCCTAGTTCGACGACGAATCCCCCACCTAATCTCGATTGTATCAATCGCCCGTTGGTTCGACAAACGCCCAATGACTTCATGCCTCGGCTATCAACCTGTTCGCAATTGTACGACTTGATCAACCGTCAAGCGTACCGTCAACCCTCTTATATGAATTGGTCATTCATCGACCCACTTGGCAACCGTCGTACGACTTGCTTTATCGGCCTGCGGCTACTCAGTCGACAAATTTAGCTCGACAAGTAGAAATTCAAAAACCTAACTGATTTTTACGTCCTTCAAAATGGAGTGAAGCAAGGCGAAGTCCAGTTCCTAATACCGTATCGTGCCAATCCTTTTCGATCTAGCTTCTTAATTTGTTTGTTCGTTCGAATTCATCAATAATTCTGACAAAAATTAACTTCTTTTACTTGCATCACGCCCACACTTATAGGCGATTTTTTCTTAGTTGTTTAGATGAAATTTATTTTCACGCATGTTGCGGTGAAAATATTCCATCCAAAGCATAGGTGAAAGCATTCTCTCTCATGAATAATGTATAGGTAAAATTGTTGTCTCACATTTATAGGCTAAAATTTTCCCTCACAATTATAGGTAAAATTAATCATAGTCAAGTGATATTAGGAATATATCATTCACTTACATGTATAGGTAGATTGTGATTGTGTTTGATGCTTATGAGAAGATTACACGAGAGATGCCACGACTGTGCTTCAGTTCATAAATGGCTGTGTTGCAGAGTCCCGATTCCGTTTTGCAACGCATGTGGGAGGAGAGAGAGCGCCTTATCATGAGGGTCAACGCTCTCGAGCACGCCAATGAAGAGTTGCTGCGTGCAAATGACTTGCTGCAGAAGGAAGCTGCCCGACAAAGTAAGTGATTATCCGCCAACTGTACTCGCGTGTTGTACATATTTTTTTTTGTTGCATTAGAGATTTTGAAGTTTAAAAATTACTCAATTACTTTTGAATACTCCCGTGTCTTGGATGTTACACCCAACCTCTAAAAATTAAAGGTTTTCAGTTAAGTCGCAGATTCCCTAACAAATTTTTTTCCTCTCTACGAGAAGGTCGTGACTGGAAAAAACGGCTGCTAGATTGCCGCAGCTTAAAGGAGCACGCCGAAGAGTGCGCATATGAACAGGTATTGAATGTTGCATGTTACATTGAATGTTGCTGTAGTGGTGGTATGTAACACGGTTGCACTAACTGATAGTCAGTCTAGCTTAATTTCATAAGAGCAGGTTTTGAAAGTTTTTGGCTTGGTTTGGTTATGTAATAAAACGTGAAATTTAAAGAAGACGGCGAAAAGGGGTATTTTAGAAAATCTATCTCCTACAAATATCGTGCTATTGCAGGAGCAGCGGCATAGCGCCCTTCTTGCCCGCGCCACTGCTGAGGTGGAGGCTACTCGCAGAGAGCGCGACTACTGGCAGATGCGCCATGGGCTCTAGAGGAAGCTCTGCAGGAGTGTGAAACTGAGCTGCAGCAACAAGCTGTAAGTTACATCAACTCTTCTTTTTTTTCTTGCTGAAATGAGTGGCTATGACCACCTCTCACCCCCACCTCTCACCCCCACCTCTCACTCCCCACTCCCGCAGAAGTACATCGAGACGCTCGAGGAGCTGCGGCCAAAGTCGATGAGCAGACTGCGGGTCCATGAGCAGACTGCGGGTCCATGAGCAGACTGCGGGTCCATGAGCAGACTGCGGGCGGCCCCGCAGACCCGCCAGGCGCAGCCAGGCGACTAGCCAGGGACCAGCCAGGCGACCAGCCGACGTCAGCGCCAGGTCAGTTGTACGACGTCTCAATATTTCTTAATCATTCTGAAACGTTTTACGTGAGCGTCTGGGTGAAACTACGTTTAAATTGTTCATGTTGCTTTTAACCTGCTATTGAAATTTTTTGATTTAAATTTTTCCCAGAGGTAATTCTTTATTCCAGGTGCTGCTTGCTATCACAAGCGTGGAGGAGGAGGGGGATGAGGAGGAGGGGGCGTCGCAGTGCCTTGCAGTTCCCGGTAGTCAGGGTGTCCGACACGTACGCGTATCACCTCGCGGGCACCTTGGCTCACAAAAACAAAAATTACAATGTCCAATATGCAAAAAACTGATCAGTAAACAAAAAAAAACTTTTTACATGACGAAGGTTATAACGTTTATGAACCAGAGCATGATAAAGTGTCAATAACTGATAAAAAAAAATTTAGGATTTAATCCTTGACAATAAAATGTATTTAGGTTTTAATCCTTGACAATAAAATGTCTTTCTCCTCGTTAGAACGCTCTTCTATTCGTCGTCTTTATCTAAATTTTCTAATACCCTTGTAATATGGGGTGGAGTGCCTATCCGTACAAAATAACCGGTTATCACGTTGATGAACAGGACACTGCGGTCAATCCTTGTACCATTGATTCGTACTACTGAATTATATAGACAGTCAAAAATCCTGAAATTCGATGACATGTACAAATTTAAGCTTTTACAGTTTATGAATAGGGGCACTTTTTCATGATCAGCGTCTTTTTGAAAGTTTATTTGCTCCTCTTGTTCCTCATCATTTCCATGATACCATCGTTCTTGTAGATTGTGTACGTATAGCCGGCACGATGTGGTGAACTTGCGGTAATCAGGGTCGTAGCTCATAGTCTTCTAGAGGATCATCAATATTTCTTGAACAACCGGAGGCAGGCGCGACTGGCGAGGGCTCCAATATCAACCTGGGGCAGCTCAGCCTTGGCAGTCATGGCCGCCATCGCCAATTAGTCGATCTGGTTCATGGACGCCATCAGAATAGCAACCACCCGATAAGCGGCTTATCGATGTGAGAATAATTTACACACTCCGTTAGGAGGTAACTTTCCGCTATACATAGCGGTACACTTTGAGTGTACGGGTATGTTGCAGATGTACACGTTGCAAAAATAAATGGTATGGGCGCCCCATTCAGGGCATATGTTGTACAGACTCTTGCCTTCATTCATCTTTTGATGCTGAAAGCCGTGGCGAATTATATGCACACCACACTCTTGAAGTGGACTTGTGTTGTCCACAGCCGCTCCTCAATAATTTCCAGTAGTTTGGTTGCAACTACGCCAACGTCAACAGGACTAACCCGGAGAATGAACTTGCGTCGGCGGCGGTAGATTTCACGCCAGCCGCAATTAGTACGGCCACGGCTTAAATGCATTGCCAGCAGCAGCGACGTGGAAGGCCCTACCACGGTCATCGGGGAGGATCTACGAATCAACCCAGCTACACGACGACCAACTACACCGCGATCCTACTCGAATCAAAGAGGCGTAGGTGACGTGCTAAAATGTGTGCTAAGGAACAATAGCGACGTTCTGTGGATCACGTGGAGTTGTCCAAATGGAAGGGGCTAGATTCTGCTAAGACCTGACGAGGTCTGCATATAATGAACTTAATTCATTGAATTCAAACCGAAAATCCTGAGAATATGGCAAAAGCCAACTCTAATTCTGAAAATGCGGTGCTCGGCATTGAAATATTTGGAGCAATAAGAGCTCAACTGCTGTAGACGACAGTCAATGGGAACAATGTGGTGCCTTGCAGGAGCAGGTGACGAATTCTCAGTTGAAAAAGAATCAGAATCTTCCCTTGGCGAGCGAAAAATCAGTTTCTGGAGTCGGAGAAATGGAAACTGTCGATGCGCACGGCCTCTTATTTTCGAAGAGAAAAACACACTTTTGCCGGAACAACTTGAAAGTTCTGAAAACGCAACTTTGCCTTACCATTAGAGCTAGTGTCCGGGCTCAAGGTAAAAATAGCGTTGACCTAATATCGAAAACTAGCAATGTTTCCTAATTTCAATTTGTTCCCTGCCTGTTTTTGATCTATACCTTACTAGCACTGCCTCGTGCTCCTGCTAACAACCTTCACCTCCCAATCCACACTATCACAGGACTTAATACTATAGCTGGAAAAAGAGTTAAGCAAGCTGCGCTCCAAGCTAACTATTCCAGCAAGACGGAGACCTGCGCGTCCTCGCCCGCATTCAAGAGTCACGAGATGGCCTCTAGTTCGCATCCTGCCTCATCTGGTAACTGCCGCCTCTCACTTGCTCAGCACTCTGAGTACAGACTATACCACGAAGTATTATAGTTCGCAGCTACCGCCAGGTGTTGCGGCTGCGTGACAAGCTAAGGCGGCTCCTCGTACGCCTTTATAGCAGCGCAATCGCTGTCTGAGACCACAGCTGCTCTTCTTCAAATGGATTATCTTTTAACGCATCATTGCCTTGCCATTAACGCTAGTTAACACAGCTCTTGGTAAAAATAACGTGTAGAAATAACCATGTATTCTGATCCATAACTAAATTGATAGAACCAACATGTATTATAGTCCGTACTTATTCCTTCTTCACAATTCTGATGGTAGTTTGAACGTCTACCAACAAATAAAAAAGGAAAACGGGGTAAAAAGCTCATTTTTTACCTAGAGTTTTCCGAAATTATGTCGTCCTAATACCTTGTGAATAAAATGACAGTTCACTGGAGGATGGCTTCAAACGCTCTAAGAATATAATAAATAGGGTTCCATGCGCAAGGAACATTTCCCCTACCGGTCTACTGTGCCCAGTCAACATTATAGCAGATTGTACAACACGACTATCTTGAATGCCTTCGCCGAGGGGAGAATCCACTTAGAACATGCAACGAATTACGAGATGGCTGCACTATGCTTTCTAATTAGGCGATTCCCAGCACTCATTCGAAAATTATCTTCCTAGTTACCTCAGGTCCCAGCCAAGAATTGTGACGCTCTCACGGCTTCGGTGAGAACTTAATTTAGCTGGTGGGCTGTGTCTCGGGACTATATACGGAAGTTCCTGACAGGGTTGTCAGAAGGAGCGAAGAGAAAAAGGCCAATTTGGCTGGCATTAAAGGCCAAAAAACGGCCCGTCGCAACTTAATGAGGAATATCTATATTCAAGGTAGTTACAACCGTTTACAGAGCGCACATCTTTTCAAACTTACGGAAAATACATATTACAACAATTTCACTATGACTACGCTCCAAATTCTAAATAACGGTCAATGCCAATTATGCCACATTAGGCGCCAAGCTACAGCGAGTTATACCTTACTTGCAGATCGTAACTGAGAACCGTATAATGCTATTTAGTGGTCAGAATTATGATTTTTCATATTCGATTGCCACCTAACAGCTAAGGGACAGCGTTGCCAGATGGTATATTTCTATACCAGATTTCACAAATCTGGTATTTTCAGAAGGTGTCTGGTATGAATATTTTAGATCTGGTATATATGCCTAAATCTGGTATTTTCTGACTTACTGCAAATTTACTGCATTAAGTTCCACCTCTGAAATTTGAACTTCCTCCGGCGTTGGCGAGGATTATATTATTATTTATATAGATTGCCTTCAGAGCGGCGCGACTAGAGGTTTCCCGCCATTTTTGAAACCGCAAGTTTACCGCTTGATGAAATAACCCCAATCTAATCGTTAACATTTTACAAAAGTGCTTAGTGCAATATAAGTACGAGAGTGATGATTCTTGATCGATTACTGATCAGTGATGATATGGCCTGGGACGAGTGAGGTTGTCGAACTGATCTCTGCGACGCAAGCTCCATAATTTTTATTTGGTGGTTTTGAATTCTAGAGTGCAACTTGAATTCTGGGGTCCCATTCAATATTTCACTGATCTTGAAAATCATCATCCATTCATGAAACTGGCTGCCTACTGAATCACTTATCTACTTGACGTGTCTCCATTGCATTCTTGGAACGAGTGTTTCCGCAAGTCACCTATGTGAAAAACAAGCAGCGAAATAAAATTTCAAGTAAGGTGCTGAAATCCCTAATTCGGACCAAAAGCTATCTGCTGGTCAGCCGCAACAAGTGATCAAACCCGAAATATTGGATTAATGTAGTGAGCAAGCATGTACGAAAATAAGCAAAAGGAAGATGACCTGTTTCCGTGGCTTGCTCATGTTGAGCGAAGGGGAAGAAGTGCCACACTGCGATACAAAAGGAAAAAGTATCAATGTAATCAAACACAGGAGAAGAAAAGTGTCAAAATGTTCAAAACAGAGGGAAAAAATATAACTCAGTACTCACTGCAGTGAGTGACAGAGAGCGCATTTTCTCGTCGACGCAAACTTGAGGTCACGGACGGACGGACAGACGGACATGGCGAGCATAATAGTGCATTTTTTCCATAAATGAGAAAATGCGCTAAAAATATAACGTGTTCAATTTGGCTAATTATCGTCAAGCCAGATAAATGCACAGAAAATAAGATGATTTTTTCTTATTCTAACCAACGTTTCTGACGAATAGTTTCATTAAATTTTGATGTATTAGTCTGTTTTTGAACAAAATAATTTCTGGTATATTTCTGGCATTTTGAGCTAGGCAATATGGTATTCTCGCCAAAAAAATACCTGGCAACACTGCCGTCGTTCGTGCCTGCCAGTGCGTCGTTAGATGCCGTCGAGTGAGGTTTGTTAAGATATTTTTTAAATATTTTACAGAATAATTGAGAATCGTCTAGAACCATTATCGTTCAAACAAGCCATAATTCACTTGACCCAAGATACTTCACAAGAGCGGCGCAGATGCTCTCACCATGGCTGCATCAGCACTATTAGTATACTAGCCAGTAGCCACTTCTCCAGCGAAGAAATCAACACATCGTCGTCGCTCTCGGCCGCGGGCACATGCCGGCTCATGCCTCTGAAGCGGCTGGATGTCCACGCTAGGGGATGCATGCCGGAGGCCAGCATAGCCCAAGACCAGCATATCTTTCATCCTCCTTTCCGTGCGTAAGCCTGCTAAAGGGCAGAGTAGACTAAGGGATTACAAGTTAAAAGCCAAAGGTACAAATCCCCTTCATGGAAATTAACCAGCGAGCTAATGAGAAGTAAGCCACCAATACAATCGCTCTACGCCGTATTGAAAACCGTCCAACAGCTCTATCCCATGCCGTCTAACCACCTCACGATTTTCGGTAAGCAACTTCCTACGCCATACCGCTGTTGATACACAGTCAGCACTCCAGCCCGTCCGTTCGTCGCAGCTGTTTTCCCCCGATGAGATAGGTCAATTGACTACAGCTGCTTAGGTGCCAGGATGACAATATCTACAGCATTTAGATGGTTGATGTTGGCTCCAGGGCTGATTTGAGCGTTAATTTGCTGGTCTACGGCTGCGCACCCCACGCTAGTAGTGTGGACAGTTCAAGCGGTGCATGAACTAGCGGCTAGTACTATTCCTGCG